CTACTGGAAATTCAATTCTGCATTACTAATTTCTCAGACATACTGAGATGGTATTAAATCTCTAATCACTGAAGTGATGGCTGATAACACTATAGGGTCTTATGTGTCAAAGTGGGAGTTTCTAAAATTCAAATTTCGAGAATTCTCCATCCATTTTGGGAAATCATTTCACAAAAACAAGAAACCAACATAACTTAATCTAATTAAAGAAATTAACACGTATTGTAATAAGGCATCGCCAAATGAAAGTGACAAACAAAAATGATTAACTCTACAAGGTAATCTTGATGAAATGTATCTAAAAAAAAGCAGAAGGGGCCTACATAAGATCCAGAGCTAAATGGGTTGAAGATGGTGAAAAAAGCACAGCTTATTTTTGTCAACTAGAAAGAAGAAGGCAAGAAAGAAATTCAATTAAAACTTTATTAATTCAAAACCAAATATGTACAGATCCAACTTTTATTATAAAGGATAGCAAATTATACTCGGCTGCCTTCTCTGAGACTGATTCAAACGTTTTCTTCGACCATATTAATAACTTTATCCCGAGTATAGATGATGATTTTGCAGAGTTATGCGATGCTGATATCACGATGCTTGAACTAGACAGCATGGTCAAAAAACGTAGCCTTAAATAAATCCCCCAGTTGTGATGGCCTAACGTCTAATTTCTATCGACACTTTTGGGATCTGTTAGAAAATCCGTTTATTCTTATGTTAAATGAAGCAACTGATACTTTATAGTTTCCTCCCACTATGAAACAAGGCTTAAGTACTTTGATACCAAAACCCGGTAAAGACTCTAAAATTATAGATAACCTTAGACCCATAACATTACTGAATACTGATTATAAAAGTGTAACCTTAGCCTATGCCAATAGATTAAAAAGCAATTTAAACACAATTATAAGTGACTCTCAATCTGGCTTTATGAAAGGTAGATCTATTCACAATTACATTTGTTTGGTGATGGATCTCCTAGACTATAGTCACTTAATTGATGATGACGGTTTTATTTTATTTCTCGACTTTTATAAAGCCTTTTATTCTATTGAACACCCCTTTATCTTTCAATGTTTAAAACAGTTAGGCTTTAGAAACAAATTCTGTGCCACCAATGAGTCTCTGTATGATAATGCAACTAGCTCTATTTCATTACCAAATGGAACGTCACCACGATTTGATTTTAAAAGAGGAGTCAAACAAGGGTGTCCTATCTCTCCCTTTCTCTTTAAAATTGCTACAGAAATGCTTTCTATCTTTATTAAAAATTCAGATATTACTCCCTTGAATGTTATGGGATTACCTGTAATCATTAGCCAACTTGCAGACGACACTACTATTTTTATGAAACAGAGACTCCTAAGATAATAGAAGCTCTTAACGTGCTCTCCCAGGCCTCCGGACTTAATCTTAATTTAAAAAAATGTGAGTTAATGCCAATTCATCAAAGTGATTTAATAGAAGCATATAACATTCCTATTAGGTCAACAGTAAAATACTTAGGAATACATATATCCAAAGACCCAACTGAAAGGGAAAACTTGAATATATGGAGAACATTAGCAGAGTGTCAAACTAAACTGAACTCCTGGTTGTTGAGAGACATCAGTTTACTTGGGCGTGTCTTTCTCACTAAAATGTAGAGCATATCTAGATGTCTCTTCCCAGCATATTCACTGACCATTCCTAACAGAGCCATTAAAAAGATCAACCAAATTAACTTTGACTATATTTGGAGAAAAAAAAATGCACTATAGAGCAGAAATGACCAAAGAATATAAAGATGGTGGACTACAAGCTATTGACTTTGAGATCATTGATGGAACACTGAAAATTAACTGGTTAAAATCCTTCTTCAACAATAAAAGCTTCTGGTATCATATCCCCAGGGAAATCTTCAAAAGGTTTGGAGGCATTGACCTTTTGTTAAAATGCGATTTCAATATTAAAAAACTTCCGATGAAATTATCCTGGTTCCATCAGCAAGTCCTTTTATATTGGAAACTTTTATACAACCATAATTTCACTCCACACAACACGCCGATTTGGAACAATAGATATATTACAATCAAAAATAAGTCAAAAAGGACTGGATGGACAAAGGTATTTGGTCCCTAGTTCATTTGACTGATAAAGATGGGCGTGTGATGACCCATGAGAATTTATGCCATAAATATAATATTACAGTTGATCAGAATTCATTCGCTTCCATAATAAGAGCCATCCCTATTCTACATTAAATCTAATTCAAGAAATTGTTTCGAACTCTCATTCAGTCTCCCCTACTCTTCCTCATCTAGTAGTTGGAAACTTCGATTTCAAGAGTGTTAAAACTCCTAATAAAACAATTGGAAAAATGCTTGACGACATTTCACACCCTTCACTGCCTTTCAGAAATTCCATTAAACAAAATTTCTCCATAGATATTATATACTCATTACGCTCTAAATACCTCAAATTTCCTATAACTCCAAAAGCCAAAGAAATCCATTTTAGAGTTTTAAATGACGTGTACCCATCTGGGGAATTCTTACGACAGAGATGTGGTTTTGATACAAACAAGTGTGTATCAATGATTCACATTGCTATGCTTACTATATTAACATGCATTGTATTCACAAGTTGCTTTCTCTGTATTTCAATACATCAATAGTGTAAAAATTTAAAGGAAAATAGTGACATTCCTGTTTTAAAATTCAAACTAATGAAACATATTTAGTTCATAAACTAATCAGATACTTTCAGATAATGAAACACAAATCTACTTCACGTGAATGAATTAGAATGAACCAGTAACATAACTTTCTGACAGTTAACCTGTGTCTGTTTAGTCCCTGACAAAACATTTAAATGAATTGTTATGTTATGCTTATTTTTTCCAAACAATGCAACGTAAAAATTTTCATAAAACCAATGAAGCTGAAGATATTTTAAATAAAATACAAGCTAAATGTGACGAAAACACAAAATTGTTAATAGTATAAACTGAAGTAAAAACTGTAAAAACATTTCTTCCTACTTTCCTGATTCATTGAATCATTTAATGGGTTTTTTTGTCATGAAAAATAAGTTTAGCTTCACTTGTGAATAACTGCAGGTAAAACGATGCTTTGTTGCGTTTTTGTTGACAGCGTTACGTTGGAGGTTTATCTTTTTTCTCTGCCTCTGTATCAGCTGATCCGTGGCTCTGATGACTGTGCACAACACAGATCGAGTGAGGAGAGAGAGAGCTTTCACAATCGTGTTTTATTACTAAACGTGACAATCAGCTTAAAGGGAAAAGTTTTTAAACTAAATCACAGAAGGTGTCCAGAACATTTGGAAGCCTGTGTGTTCATCATGTGTTAATAAACAAATGGCATTTAATTTGCGTTAACAAGCTATTACCGCAGATAGGGCTTTACTGTCACCCAGAATATTTTACTGAGGATGTTTTTCAGCTCAACATCACCCCATCTTCTTCAGAAGAATGCCTATATCTACCTGCTGCAGCTGCTGAATTCAAAGTTGACAGAAACAGGGATCGCAGCGGCAATGAATCTGCGTATTCCCAGTAGTACAGACTTGACACGTTTATCAAAAGATTTGTGCCATGATCAGATTTTTATTTTACTTCCACAAAAAAAGCTAATTTTAGATTAGATATTCTGGAAAATGGGGACGGCTTGCCATCAGACTTAAAGCCGTCCCTTAAGTAGGCCGTCATTTTTTAGGTCAGATGGGATGACTCGTATACATCCAGGCAAGCGACTTCCAAGTACGTTGGGAGTTACTGGTAACTTGCAAGTGTTGGAGACCTCTGGTATACAGGGACCAAACATTAGTCCAACAACCATACAAACCTCCCTGGTTTTGGTAAGATAGGTACATTTCACCACCCATGCCATGTTGAACCACTTTAATGTCATGTTACAAGCATTTTTACAGTACATAGACAAAATACAAACACACACTCGTATGTTATTTATTTATTTTTGCTTTTCATTGCTTACTTAGTTTTATACTTAAATGGCAATATTTTTATTTCATTTTTTGGAAACACTGGTCATGTAACTTCCTGCCAGCTGAACTGAAGCAGCTGAAATTGATTATACTTAGAAATGAACAGACTACCAAATATTTCTTGTCCAGATGAAGGCCAGTGTTGCTGAAACTAGTTGACATATGTTTTATTATTATCCTTGAAACAATAAAGGGGTTTTAACCATTTTCATCCTCCTGACCACAGACATATGTCTGAAGAAGACACCCCTTGGACTGGTTTTGCCTAATAGAGTTGCTGTAGCGGCCAGCCGCCATTTTGGATGGGCCTCCATTTGCCCCCAGTACATTTATTTCTACTGAAGGTGTTTATCCAACCAAAGAACTTTTTTTTTTTTTTTTTTTACTTTTTCACAAAATCAGACATATGGTATGCCATGATAGTTAAAATAGAAATATAACTAAACATAAATAATAGTATAAAATCCCAATAGGTAGGCTATAGAAAATTCAATAGTAATCCCTCGTGATCTGTTCCAATAGTACATTGGTTGTTGCTACCGTAGGCTGCACAAAAAACAGCCATTGTTGCTCAATCTGTGTTGACTCCATTTGGGTTTGGAGAGTGATAGGGTGTCTAAGTATTCATGTCTATGCTCCTGAGAGCTTCAGATGCCTTTTTCTTAAGCTATACCTGCTATACTCCATGCCTTTTTGCCATTTTGAAAACACGCAGCATTTGAGAAATTCCAGCACTGTGTTCCTTTATTTAAAGTCACAAATATACTTTGTTCAAAGTTTGTGGGTAAAAAACAAAACAAAAAACCAAACACCCAAATTCGTATTTGGCTCATTAGCGCCACTGGTGTTTGAACGTGGAATTGCAACCACCTATAATATGATCATAGTGCTAAGGACAGATGAGTGACAGGACAGGGGCACTTCAAGAGCCCAACAAGATTTCAGCTAATGCCCCCGAGCCCCCCCCCCCCCCCCCCCCCCCAAAAGAACCAGCAATGAAACAATCACTGTCTTAAATAGACATAAAGCAGAGAGATAGAAAATTTAACTATTTTTAGAGTGTCCAATAATCTAAATCAGAAGTAAACATAACAGAAACATTACAAAACATGTTCATTTGAACACATTTTAAGCAAATAAAAGAAAATTCTTATATTAATGCAAAAGCACCAGCAGATTTTATTGTACAGTTAAAACACACACACACACACACACACACACACACACACACACACACACACACACACACACACACACACACGCACACACACGTGCACACACGTATGCAATAGCTGCTCTTGATCATCTGACAAAAAGACAAAGTAACAGAATAAGGAAGCTCTCTATCACCTACCAGCCTCTCCCTTGGGTCTAATCTCAGTTGTGACCTCAAGTCTGCGTCCTTGCTGCAGGACCAACGGACTGGTAAAACACATTAGAAAACTGGAACTGATTCTGTTTCTCCTGAGCATATTTTGGCTGATCTTTCAGCTTCCTCTGTGGTTTTCCTGGTAAAGTAACATATATCCCAGTCAGTCCAGTGGACTGTGGCTGAAAGCATATGTCGCTACTCTGTAATTCACTTCTTTTGGGAGGGTATGACATTTTATCCACTAAGCCGTGGCTCTTTGGACTATATTGTGTCTTGTTGATAATTCTGAAGTGACTCATTTTATCCTCATCTGTCCCACTCTTGTGGTTTTTTCTGCCATGTTCTGCAGAAGTTTGAGAAATCACCGAGCTCTTTTCAGGATCATCCGCTGAGTTTTCTCCAATGTTGCTATTCTGTTGCCCATTTAGTGCCTTTAATTTGCCTTTTGTCAACACAGAACGGCCAGTGTCATTGCTGCCTGCATCACAGAAGTGACTGAAAGCAGGGGCAGACACAGGAGTGGCTTTTCTCTCCATTCCTGGTGACAAATCTGTGCTAGGTCTGTGAGTGGACCTATGTGATGATCGATGGTTGTCTGGGGAGGGGGTGTTCCTCTCCGGATCGATGTGGAGATTCAAGCATGTTCTGGGGCAATCTTGCTCTGTGGCAAAAACATGGCTTTTACTGATTTTTGGGTCATGCTCTGCAGGGTCCATCCTGTTGAAGGTGGGAGGTTTGATGATCCTATGTTGACTATGAGGTCTGGATAATGAGGCCTTGGCAGGAGGAGGTGGACTCGGTGGTTTGGGCTTCAGATTGCACAGAGAAGGTGAGGCTGGTCTTAGGGGTGAGAGGAGTTGAGTGGATCTTTGTTCTGCTGACCGTCTGAGGATAAAGGAATCTCATTAATAAAGTCTGGATCATATCAAAAGAAAAAACAATAGATTAACACTAGCCTGAAACTGTTTTTCAGCCCCTTTATAGGAAGAGCTGATGAAGTCTCATATGCTGAAGGTAGCAGTGCCAGGTCCATTTGTAGAGATGCTCTGAGTTCTCGCAGCTCTGCACAAACACAACACAGCCCCTTGATAAAAATGAAGACACACTTTAGTCTGTGTAAGAGTGTTTATCTTATTATTGCACATTCTTTTTCTTCATTATTTTTATCTAGCCTCAATCACACATAAACTAGAAGAAATTATATTAACCCGTTTAAACATTTGCATGCATTTGAACCTGAAGACATCCCAGAAATATAATATTTATGTTTTTTAAATTTATTTTATGTTGGTAAATAAATGTAAGGTTTATAGTTGGTAATAATTGTGCCCGGTGGGATTAAACAGATTCATCATAATGATCTGCAAAGCTTAGGCGTGCCATCGACATGCTAAAATGACCCATGAAATGTCGCAAAAATTAGATTAAATTAAAAGTTGCTCAAAAACTTTTTTCAAATAGAAATGACAGCTTTTTTATTACAGGTTGTCATGAAATAAACTACCACCAGAGGGCAGCAATCACCCAACATTTGTCGCACCTGTGAGTGATGGTTCTGAGTTTCCGGTTTCATCCTCAGAGTTTAGGTTTAACATTCCCTGCAAGAAACACAAAACAGCATAATCCGTGTGTGAGTTTATGTTCTTTGTGCAGTTTTACTTAACAATTCAGCCGTGTGACGAATAAACTGGTGCTAAAAAGTAGGACACGCTGGAGAAACTCGAGACAAATGCTTTGAGCACACTTAAGACGGAACGTTGGAAACTGCAAGGGAAATGAGAAAAAAGGATAAAAACAACAGGTAATGAGAGGAAAGGAATTCAAGTGTGTGTGTGTGTGTGTGTGTGTGTGTGTGGGTGTGTGTGTGAGAGAGAGGCCACTAAACGATTGAGCAGCAGTATTCCATCATAATTTGGCCTCCAACGTCTTTGCCCATAGCAAATGAAAACCATAACACACACTCACACACACACATACACACACAGAGAGAGAGAGAGAGAGAGAGAGAGAGAGAGAGAGAGAGAGAGAGAGAGAGAGAGAGACTGTCTGTCTGTCTGTCTGACATTCAGACATGCCACATATAACAAGCGTTTCAGTATCCCAGTAGGATTCAAACACACACACACACACACACACACACACACACACACACACACACACACACACACACACACACACACACACACACACACACACACACACGCGCGCGCACACACACGCGCGCACACACACACACACACACACACACACACACACACACACACACACACACACACACACACACACACACACACACCTATGTTTTGTAGCCCATGTAGGTCAAAAACAAAAACAGGGCACACAATAATAATATTTTAGAACATACTTTAAATATTCATGGAATATTAATCTTTTACACATATTAGGACTTATGCTAATTACTCCACACCATACAAACAAGAACATCTCATCAGCTTCACCATTGTTTAGATGACTCTTGCTCTGCCTGTCCTATTAGAAAACCCTTCATCTTCCTGATAAAAACAAAAACTTCCTGATTTCAATGTTTCAGCTTATTCAGTGCTTTGCTGTTTCCATGATTTATTCAGCAGCATCAACATATGAGGCAGATTTTAACCCCATCTGGCTAAGTATGGCCTTAATACAGTATTTATATGGAGACAATAAAAGAATGCAGTATTATTATGCAAGCTAATGATGCTAGCCTCTGATGAACTCTGCAGCTTTAGCTGCATTTTTATGCACAATCAGATTCTCTCACGTGGGTCATAAACTGAGCTAAACGCAGCAGCTAGCTGGACGACCACTCGCTCCCCTACAGTAGTCTGATTTATTACCTGGAACACAATCAGGTGATCAATCCTCAGGGGAACAGAAATCCATCAGAGTCAGTCAGTACCTTTCAGCCTAAAATGACAGACTCTCCACTGAAGGAGTTATGGTTCCTAGGTGTCCATAAACAGGGGCACCCACAGAAAAAGTTGATACGGGTGGCCAGACGGGCCAAAGAAAATTGAGGTGGTGCACCAAATTGGTCCTTGTGGTAACTCTGGGGGAGTTTAGCCAGTGGTGATGCATTGCACTGCTCCTTTATTATTATTTTTTTTAATTAAAAAACAATATGTATTCTAAAACACTCAACTAATGTGAGAAACACAAATATTTCAGAAAAATACATTTCAGTCATTTAAAATGTTATTTCAATTTTTATTTTACAATTTTAATATTTTTGTTTAGTTCGGCTGTTGTTGTCTTCACAAAAACTATTGAGGTATAAACTTTTCTTTGAATGGCCATCTAACCAACTAACTCAGCTGCTCATGATGTCAGAACATTTTAACTACAATCATAAAACTGCAGCGCAGCATTAGATTCAGAAGAACGAGCCATACAATACAGAAAACAGATGTTAGCAGTCATGACCTAAAAAGTGCAATTTGAAAAATGAAATGTTTTCCTGCTTAGCCTGAGACTTCATAAAGGATTCCACTCTAGACCTGAATCCAACTTCTCTGTCTCTAAAACCGTCACAAATGTCTGGAGCTGTGAAGTAAAGACTTACGTTTGTTGCTTCACTAAGATTCTCTTTAAAAGTAAACATCTAGACTTCTCCATAGCTGCACAGAAGATCCTGAGGTCCTTTTCTTCTAAGTGCTGCTGAGTTATTCTGGTTAATGAGGCCGTTAGGCCCTACACAGCTGAGCTTTGACATCATTTAACGCTGCAGGAAATACAAATGCACAGAGAGTTTGTGACTTACTCAAACACGTCATTGTGGGGAACAAAAAAAGGAAAGATGGATGATGTCATTTCAAAGCTTGCAGAAACAAATCATACATATCCACTAATCAGCTTCACGTCCCCGTGACGCGTCACCCTGTACTGCTTTGATAAAATTCCCTAAAGGACCTTCACACATTACAAATAAAAAAAAGTTTAGATTTCTAAATCTCTAAAGCTTCTTTTTCTACAAAAAAAGGACCAAAATCATCAAAATTCCAGACACTAACAAGCAAAGAAGCACATCTGGTCCACAGAGAGACCCAACATCTGGTTGAACTCTGTTCCTCTCCTGCAAACCAGTGTAGCTAAACTGTAGCGTGCACCCTGGTGATCCATACTGCGTGTGCATGGTCACGCTCACAGTGGTCCATATGTAGCTTGTGTGAATGAAAGAAGATTTACATTTTGCAGCACTTGCTGCAGCTCTCAGATGAAAGCCGGGTATTTAGCATTTTTATGCATGTGTGTGTGTGTGTGTGTGTGTGTGTGTGTGTGTGTGTGTGTGTGTGTGTGTGTGCGTGTGTGTGTGTGTGTGTGTGTGTGTGTGTGTGTGTGTGTGTGTGTGTGTGTGTCATTGACCTAAAAGACACCTTGGAAGCGTTTCAACATAAATACATGAAGCATTCAAGGTTTAGAAGGAAAAAAATGTTGCAATTCAAGGTGGTCATTGGCATTTTGCAGCGTTTCCTGTGCAGCGGCGTACAAACTGCACTAATAAAAGCTGCACAAGCAGCAGCAGACAGCTAGAACTCCACTTGTTTTGTACTGATGGATAAAAACATCTGGGTTTGGTCAAGCTTCACCAAAACAAATGTAGCATTTTTTATGACTACTGCTCTGCAGTATTTGATGGTTTGCTACTCTTACCTTGAAATGCTTAATTGTTGCAGTTAAAGCATCACATTCTGCCAGGAGGACTGACCTAGACAGATAAACAGATGAGAAAACTGATGAGAGGGTGAATGAAACATCACCGCAGCTACAGAATCCTGCTGGTCAGAGTTTATTTTCTGAAGTTTTCAAACGTGACTCAGAATATTGTGGCTTATTTTCTGTCTTCCTCCCTAAATCCCTCTGTTCTTCCTCCTCCTCTGGTTACACAACCTTAGCAGACATTATTTACTTTCTGTAAATG